CTGACCATCTGCATGAGTTCCTTCACCGGCTCCATCACCGTCAAAGAGAGTGCCGCGCCACAGCAAGTCGCTTGGCCAATGATGGCCTTACTGCCTTCTTCACCATGTGGTTCGTTTCGGCAATCTCCTTCTCCAGCAGAGGTGAAGGTGTAGTCATCGGTGAGGATCTGGTCATAGAGCTCAACATGCATGTGGGACGGTCGTAGGCCGCCTCACCTGGAGAAATCTGTGCCATAGAGCTCGTCAAGCAAGTAGCACAGGCGTGGTTCGTAGTGCTCGTAGTGGCTTGTGGTTGAGGAATTTCCTCAAAGGCAAGTGAAGTTGAACGTATTGGGCTCATATTGGATGTTGTAGGATTGTCGCTCTGGGTGGCCTCCAGCCGGTCAGAGCGCTCGATCTTCTCGATCGATTCCGCCGCCCTCATGCGGCATCGTAGGCTCTTCAGGGATTCCCATAGTGCCATCACTCGGCTTCCTTGTCCTTCTCCTCCGGCTCGCTCTTGATGGGCAGGACTTCCCCTTTGCTCACCTTCTCCAGCAGCTCCCTCGCTGCCTGAACTTCGCTCGAGTCGACCATTGCCACCGAGGAGGACACTTTTGAGCTCACACTCATGGCCTTCACACTCTGGTTGTCGTTCTCCTTGGCCTCCTCCTTGGGGTCGGTCTTGATCTCGGGCTTCGCTGAAGGCTTCGCCATGGGCTTCTCCGGGGATCTCTTCCTCGGCGAGGTCTTGTTTACAATCTCCTGCGCTCCCGGATATGGGATCATTGAGCCCTGGCCTTGGTGACAGGTCGCACTGGCCATCAGTGCTTCTCCCAGCTTCTCGTCCGCTCTGACCTGCGCCGTTGTTCGCCCTCTGCCTCTCGTCTCCACCAGTGAGCGGCCACGGATCTCCATGAGCTTCCCGTTGAAGATCTTTTCGTTGATCTCGTGGGCCTTGAAGTTCTCCTGCAACTCCATCTGAGCCTGCTCCACTTGGTCTGGTGGAGGACCAATGGCCCTGTAGTCCCCCGTACCAGATCCCTTGGTGGTGTATCGGAGTCGAAGGCCGCAGTGTCCGCAAGACTGCCAGCTCGCCACCTTGTTGGCTCGGACTGGACCTGGAACATGATGTCCATGGCATGGCCAACCGGTGTGCCTCGGATCCATCTCTGTCGCCGGTGGGCATGGCTTCATTCTCCACAGGGATGGAGGTCCGTAGCTCGTCGAGCCTTCGAGCCAGGTTGCTGAGGCGGTCGGACAGGGAGAATTCCGGTTCAGCACTTGCCCATTCCGAAATCATCAAGACTGAATGTTCCGTGATCACAGCTGATTGACAGTCGTCATGTTGCAAGACATGTCCAAGTGCTTCAGATGTAGTTGGCACGGTAGGAACAGGCAACGCATGTTCAAAAGTGCTTTCCAAGGTCTCAACAATCACATCGTCATGACTCTCATATGCAAGGACTGCCTCAGGAACCTCATGACCTTCATGCTCACCTTCATCCAAGTCAATCGGGATGCGATCTTCAAGAGCTCCAACTGCGCACCTTGTTTCCTCTGAGTCCTTTCCTTCCCCATCGGGGTTCGGAGGAGCACCGTAGTTGGAAGGTGCTGAAAGCATCTCACGATGTGGAGAATCTCTTGCTCCCTGAGATGGAGTGTAATTTTCAAAGTCGCTCTCAGGGTCCGGCTCAATGGGTGGTGGTCGAGGAGGTGCAACTCCTCCTGTAGCTCTCTCCCTCGTGGCATGTCTGGCGGTCGCTGCCACGATCTCGCTGCCAAGATCTCTGGTCTTCTTTCTCTTCCTGCGTGCGCCGTCACCACCACCTCCATCACCATCGTCATCCTCGTTGTCATCTTCTCCAGGAGGATGACCACCAACTCGTGGATCAGTGTTGATCCTTCTGATCAGGAAGTGCAGTGGAATGCACGGTTCCGAGAGGTCCATCACCAAATGCCCGCTTCCGATGGTCTGCAAGGTGTTGGCCCACCATCTTCCATCCGAGCTCTGATGGGCGATGTAGTCCCCGTGATAGGAGATGACCGCCTTGCGAGAGCGCATGGTCTTCGCTCCCACCAGTGGCGGCGTGTCCTCAACGCCTCCATCGAGCAGGAAAAAGCCAACCTGTCCCAGAGCTGCCGTTGTCAGCATGCAGTGAGAAGTCGCTCTCTGGTACTCACCATTCCCGAAGCGGAACCTTGGCCTCTGGTCGATGGTGATGTCATACGGGAACCAGAGTGAGTCAATCAGCCTTGCCATTGCTCGAACTCCAGAGACCGATTCAGTGGCCCCAGTGTCGATCACCACCTTGGACATTGACATGTTGCCGGTGATGGTCTCATCGCCCAGGGTCAGCACGTTGACCTCGTACATGTCATACTCGTGGCCGAAGTCCACCCAGTAGGCTTTGCCTTTTCGACCTTTGCCATGAAATTTGGATTTCCCTCTTGACTTCCCAGTCGGAGAACTCTTTGGGGACGTCGAAGAAGACCCTTTTGACGAACCCTTCGACCAGCGGTCCGGGCACCGAACGTAGCTGTGGCCATGTTGTCCACAAATGAAGCATGGACCAAATGAAGTGCCACCTGAACCTTTCCCCTTGCCGAAGGGGGATCTTGTCTTGCCCTTGCCCTTCCCGGTGGTGTTGCCCTTCATGCCCACCGGGTTGTAGTAGCCTCGAGCCGCCCTGACTCTGGCTACGGCCTGCTTGGCCTCAGCAAGAGTCTTGTTCGCCTCGGCCGCTATCGCGTAGGCCTCTTCCAGCCTTCTCTCACCCTCTGTCTCCTCAGGAGTCTGTTCATGGCCTTCTTCTTCTACCTGATGTAGTCCATCATCACCAATCATGTAGTCGCCCTCGTCCTCGATGTAGTCCCATCCGGAAGAAGGTGACCAATCGCTGCCCCAATAGGCCTCTTCGCTGCCCCAGGTAGTCTCATCAGCCCACCAATCTTCTTCCCATTGATCCCATGATGGATCTTCAGCGAACCACACGGTCCTTCTCGCCAGTCTTCCGCCGGCATCATCACCGCCATCACCTCCATCAGCAAAAAGAGACCTTAGTGCATTGCGGATCAGCTGAAAGTGGGTGCTGTTCTTGGTGAGCGTCATCACATGTTGTTTCTCAGCAGCGCTCAACTTCGAGGCCTTCAGCAGCCTGTAGCCTCTGAGTTCATTCTCGAAGAAACCCGCATTATCCAGGGTCGGAGGGCCTGGATCACCTTGTCGTTGTTCTCGAGGTTCATCACCACCCCCTCCGGTTCGGAAGGTCCCAGCAACATTCGGAGATCTTGTCGGGGATGTTGGCGGATCTCGTTCATCTGCACCGACAGCCATGGAGAGTACCTCGTGCTTCAACCGTTCAGCTCTAGCTCGTTGAAGTGCCTGTTGAAGCTCAACAAAAAGTTCTTCCTCCCGAACAAGTAATTGGGGTATGCTCTCCGAGGTTGCCCTTCTCAGCCCCGACCATTTCTCCAACCGGTTGAAGGAGTCCGGAACCGGAAGTTTCTGCAGCGGACTTTCTCGAAGAACACTCAGGAGCTTGCCCATGCCGCCCTCAGTGGTGAAGGGGGCCGGGTCGAGGTGGCGTACCACGCTCTTCGCAGCCCCACCAAGCTTCTGCCAGACCCGGGGCGCCGCCAGCTTTCTCTCCGAGTCTTTGAGGCTGGCCTCATACCACCTGCATGAAGTGGCGAACCCTTCGAACCCAGCAGGGTCCCCGTCCCAGGTTGGGACCTCATCGGAAGGCATCGCCTTCCCCACCAAGGCCGCCGCCAGCAGCCACAGCGCCCACGTAGTCCTAGGCCACCAGGTCGATCCCAGCGGCTCCGCCTACCATGAAAGCCGTCCTATTCAAAGGACAAAACCGGCCCGCTGTGGGGCCAAACCGCACCGAGCGGCTCTTTCCTCTGGCCGCGCTCGAGCCCCCACCCTACGGGCAAAAAGGGGCATGTTCATGAACCGGGTGATTGCATTTAGAAATTCTTTGGGGAAGGATAAGGGCATGCAGCAACCCCTTCTCCGTATTTGAAGAAGCATTGTATATTAGTAAGATTCGACATTTACAAGCAGAATTATGCAAACTATGTGAAAGTTCCACACAGCATTGGGTGCTTCTCCTGCCTTCTGGCTGTAAACGCCTTGGCTCCCTACCGTTCAACCCTTTGGGATTTGCTTTCTCAGTGTGGTTTCTGCGTACTTGCTCCTTGTGTGTCTCTGCCAGAACAGCCTGAAATCTGTCTGAAACTTCTGCTGTGGTGCTAGCGGCAGTCTGGGATAAAAGAGGAGGGATGCATTTTTGTTGGAAAACGTTCTCTCTAGCAATAGAAACTCTCCAATATTTTATGTGTACAACATCTCGTTTTTGAGCTTGAAAAAGCAAGGACGTTTGACCATTCAACTTGCAATCCTGGGATGCGTGTCCACATATCACGAGGAACTCCCCAACGGAATTGGTGGTCCCTGAAAACTCCGGGCTGTGGTCTGACAGCCGCCAAGGTCGGGTTCTGAAACTCAGATTCTGAAACTGTTGCTCCGGTACGCTGAAACTGCTGGTGACTTTTGGGTTTTCGGTTTCCTACCTTGGACGTGGTACGATCTCCAAGTGAAGAAACTCTGCTTCAAAGAACTACCGCTAGTACAGTGGCAATTTCAACGCTGGCCACTAGTAGATTCCCACTGGTGAAGTGAGTGAAGTCCGATTTGGGCTGGCTGGTGAAGACGAAGCACTGGTAGGTCATTCGTGTGGTGAAATGTTGCTACCATTGGTGCAGTGAAGTGGCCACTTCCACTGCTGGTGAAACTAAGCGGTGGCCTCCCACCCAAGTAGCGATGGCCTCCACCCTAATAGCGATGGCCTCCAACTATTCAGGGAATGCAACTACTGATGTGTGTGAAAACAATCCCGGTGCAGATGTGCCCTCAAACTGGGTCACAGCAGCCACTCAGTTTTGTAGTCTCTGTCTGTGTGTTGTTCTGGTCAGATTTGCACAAAGCAAAGCCCACATCCAATCCAAGCATCTTTCATTGAAGCATGGTAGTAGGTCAATGCACCACTGACCTTTAGGTACGCGGCAGCTGCAATGCTTCCACCCAGAAACACAACGTCATGGGCGGCAACCATGACATCGCTGACAGCTGTCAAGGCAACCTGGTTACGGCCAGGAGCCCCTAGTAGCGTCCTTGCTCCTAGTAGTACGGCCAGGAGCCTCTAGTAGCGTCCTTGCTCCTGGTAGCGATGCCAGGAGCCCCTAGGAGTTCACATGAAATCTGGTTTATGTTGGCCGTAGATCTCACAGCCTGTTCCTAGCAGCACGGACTTTTCCACAACATAATAACGTATTTCAGCTAGCAACACCACTGGCACGACTTACATGCTCGTGTGCAGTGCATGCATATATATATATATATGTATTGATGAATGTGTATATATAAATATATGAGATGTGTGTATTAGATATACTGCATTGTCTAATATCTTGATTAGAACAGTCCATTGTGGGTCCTTTCAAAACACAGCAAGTTCAAATTCTATGGCACAATGGCCGACCTTCTGCAGAACTTGAATCACTTGGAAGTCATCTTTTTGCAGAAGGTTTCGCAAGAAAGAAACTTTGCAAAGGTCTTGGCCTTAGAGCTGCAGTATTCTGGCCAAACAGTCGACATGTTCGCTCAAGCGTGTTCGACAGGCTGCACCATTAAACATGCAATATGGTACACCCCGCGAGAAAGACCAGCATGGTTCTTGACGACAGGATCTCTGAAGAAAACACCGGAACATTGGTTGGTATGGATTGGATGCAAATCCAGAAATGAGAACCCGAGTTTTGAACACTCCTGACAGACAAACAAACAGGCTCTGCTACTTCTGATCGAGTTGCGATATCTTTCAATGTGGAGCTCCCCCGTCAGTTGCTGTGACAGGAGCTCTAACAAAGGCACTCGTGATCCAACAGACTTGGCCTGCTTCCTCAAAGCATACCTCGGAAAGGGCAAGGATGTGGAGACCCGGTCCAAACACGACTGCAAGTAGGCTTGTGGCACTGTTGGCGCTGTGGCACTGCGAGAAATGTGTAGCACTGTGCACTGTGGGAGTAGGGTCTCGCGGCACGGTCTTGCACATGGCCTCGCAAGAACACGTTTTCAAAGGGCTTCGCTGAGGTTCTCGCTAATTAAGGGTCTCACAAACGCCTCTAGCGATTGCATGGTACCTTGAAGGGATCTCGCGAAGGGGTCTCAAGGGCCTCCCCACAGCTTCGCAGCTCTGGTATGCTCTGGTCGTGTTTTCGCAGCTGCAGCTTCTCACTGCGTCACAGCTTCGCAGATTCAGCGGCTGGTTCCAGCCATTCTGTCCCCATGCAAAGAGAAAGCCTTTGGCAAATGGTTTTAGTTCAGCACTATACAAGCTTGGTTATGCTTTAACACATCTGTGGTTACAACAGTGCTTTTGAAAAATTGCATTGGTTCGCCCTTGCTTCTTGCATTTGGTGCATTTCCATCCTTCGCCCCGGCCCAAAACAACAATATTGTGACTGGGGTGAACGACGGCTTGAACATCACTGCACCTGGCCAGGCAAGGTTTCGTCATCATGTTCGCCACCTTTGCTTTTTCCCAATGCTTGGAGATGGAAAGATTACACCCTTTGGCAAATTGAAAGCAACTTCAGTTTCTTTTGTTGATCATCTCCGGTAGTCACGCAAGTCTGTCTCCGGTAGTCACGCAAGTCTGTGAACTTACAAATCAATCCATCAACCAATCGATGAAGACTCCTCCCAAGTGCACTACTGGTAGACTGGTGGACAACACCAGCAATGTGTCAATGTGCTTCAAAAGACTGCAAAGGAGTCATTATCAATCTCTGAAGGTACGGTTGCCCACCTTGGCCTTGATTTCCAAATTGTGCCCAGGTGCTGGTTTTGCAAAAATCGTACAATTTTCTGCTGCAAGCCCTTTGGAATGTCATTGTGTACCAAATAGTTGCGCAGCAATCGGAATTCGGTGGCCTCGTCCTCTTTGATTCTGCTGAGGCCGGACATAAGGGAAGTCATTGTACCTGACACTCAGGGCCGACTAAACGATCACATGGATTCAGCAAAAATGTTTCAAGAAAAAGGAAAAGAATGGAAAAGAACTGCTTCTCTGTCAATGGCGAGCCGCTAATCAAGGTGGAATATGTAATCAGCGATCTGAACGCAATGATGCAGCAAAACGCCAACTCCAAAGTGTTGGCAGGAAGGATGTCACTAGAACCCACACTAAGTTGAGCAAAAGCCCAGTTCAAACATTCTAAATAACTCTGCCAAATTCCAGAGTCAGCTCGTTGTTGCAACCATCCATCCGCCCCCCCAAGGCGTCCAACACCATACCACGCGCAGCTCACCAGGTGGTTCAGGACTAAGAGTCGTGCAATACTGCCAAACAGGGAGTAGTACAGGCTTGCAGCCTGGCGAGAAAATGTTTGTCTTGGGTCTCCATTGCTGTTTTACATCTGCTTCCTAGGTTTGTTGATCCCGAACATAGGCATGAACATCTGCATGAATACTATCATAAGCTCTTCATGGTCTGCCTGAGAATGCAAAAGCTCTTGAAAAACCTCGTTGACCCGTTGAAGCTTCACCCAACGAAGCATCCGCGCCAGTCTTAAGAAGCGCAGCATCGTCAGCGTCCGCGACCACTGTGCAAGCCCCGCATCAGCGGCACTGACCCAAACAATCGCCCAATCCAAACAAATCAGAAGAACATCGAAAGGCATCCATGTCCTTGCGTACTGCTTAAAGGATTCCCATGGGTCCAACACTAGCGCTCCGTGTTTGTAGTATCCAGTACGACAAGACACGAGGAAGTCGAAATTCCAAAAGAGCTGCGTTGCCCACTCCATGACTCTCAGTGGAACTGATGGAGGTAGCTCAAAAGCTTCAAGTGGAACGAAGATCAGGTCATGAAGAACGCAGAAAGCCACTGCCAAATTCCATCCTGTTCGAAAATGCCCTCCCGGATGAAGAGCATCTCTATGTCGTTGGAAGCAATTCCTCCTTCCTTCTTTCCTCTCTGCTGATGTTTGCCCGAGCACATCCATTGCTCGTTCCATTGAGACCGTCCGTCTTTGAGATCCTTTCTTGTCCTTCACAGTCTCTTTGAAGCACGCATATGGTTTGAAGTCAAGATTCGGCACAGAGTCTAAGTCAAGCTCCTCCGAATTCTCCTGTCCTGTGACTCTGACACTGTGAATGCTTCGAAGTATTCCAACTTAAGTTCTTCAAGAAAATCATATTGACTCCTTGACACTGTTCCTTTTTAAAGAAATAAAAAGATATCATCATTGCCATTTCCCTCACAGTTGCGCTTTACCGTTCACGTACACAACATGCACCTCAAGACTCTCTGCCAGTTCCTCTCTTCAAACTTTCGTCACTAATCCTGAGTCATTCATTCTAGGCCTAAAAGTTTACTTTTCTGCTTTTTGTCCCCTGCCTTTCCCTTCGCCTTCAGAATCGTCAAGTAGTGTCCGTACAGGGACTCCAAGTCCTGGGAGCACTGGACTTGTTGATGGCAATCCACGATGCAAAGGAAGACCATTAGGTCCTGAAGCAGGAGACCTTGGCTTCATCGTCAAACACCTTATCTTTTAAGGCCGCTCCCCCGTCTCCCTACTTAATTGGGTAAGGGCGACTAGTTCGCTACTAGGCTAAGCTAGCTTCTACATATAGAGGCCTTTTTAGTAGCATTCTTGTTGTCATAACACGACTTGTATATGCACAAGGCTTGCGCTGTTCTTCACCCCTCTGACGCGTCACGCTGCACCCACACCCCATTCCCGTTCAAAATCCATCCAGCAGGTAGCTTGTTAGTGAGCTAGCTAGTGGTGTAGGTTGCTGAGTTGGGTGGTATAGATATACCTATATATATATATACATATCATATGTGCATATAGAGATATTTGGTCTTGATGCCTTCACTGTTCCTGAGGAGGATGAGAACGCAGGTCGATCAGAGCACAAAATTCCTTCATTTACTCAGAATCTTTGGCAGCCAACCCATTAGAGACCAAAACATGGTTATATATTTTGTACATGGTCTAGAACAATTCCTGGCAGTTCTGAGGCGAAGTCCCCAGCTATATAATTAGTGCACTGGCCCAAGGGGCCCAAGGGGCAGGGACGATGAGGCTGCCGTGAATTGCGCCACATCTGCAGCATAGATTTCCCCAAGCTTTCTGTGGAGCTCCCAGAAAGTGGACGAAGACGGATTCGGCACCGGCTCCGAAGCATTTCGCCGCATGGATCGCTACAGACTGAGGCGTTGGAGCCAGAGCGGGAAAAGCTGCGGGTACGAGCTGTCGATTGTTCTTTTGTGGTCACCACAAGCTGGTCGTCTAGTTTTGAAACCTGCTTGGGCTTGTTGCCTAGGGTGGAGGCCTCAACTAGGGTGGAGCCCCTAGTAGCGTCCTTGCTCCTAGTAGCGATGCCAGGAGCCCCTAGTAGCTTCTTGTTACTAGTAGCAAAAAGTCCATCTGACAAAACTCACATTCTTGAAACTGTCGCTCGCATCATCACAGTCCTCTGTAGACTTGGAGACACTTTCCAGATGGTACGGCCTCGTGTCCGGTCGAAACAGCCAAGGACAAACTCGAAGTTGGTTGCAGCAAAGCCTTTGTGAGCTACATCTGTTGTGAACTTTTGAGTCACATGCCCACACTCGCGCAGTGCCATCTGCAGAGGCCGTGGCAGCCTGGGAATGGCTCCAAGTCATGAAACGCTGAAGCTAACAAGAACTGATCTCCTACGCATTGGTGAAGTTGGCCTCCATCCAGTTGCTGGGCGGGTCTTCTAATTGCTCCAAGATATGCTGCTTTCAGAAGAGTGAAGATGGTCATTAAAAAGGAGCGATGTCTTTGTCAGTTCGACACTCACTCGACCCTACTTGACTCGTCTTCAAGTGTCACGCCATCTGCCCACAAGCAGAAAAATCCACACTCTTCACCACGTCGGTGTGCCCTTCCTGCCAAGAACACAAGCAGAGAGGAAATAGATGGAAATAGAAAACTATTCTCCACAAAGCTGCAACAACTTGGAAAGTCAAATCCTCAGTCAATTTGGCTTTGGATTGCGAAATCGTCAAAACCCCTGCGTTTAAAACATGCACAGCTCTCCAGCGTCGTCAGACGCTCGCCACTCCGAGCAGACCAGAAAGCAGCAGTGCCATCTCCCGCTCCTGGCTAAAGAGCTCATGATTCGCACTACTACCGTAGATGGACGAAATATTCAAAACCTTTCAACCACGTGGACCC